GATTACAAGTAATTGATTACTGTAATCAAAATTGTAATCATGATTACAGCTGTAATCAAAATTTTTTGAAAGTTGTAATCACGATTACAAGTAATTGATTACTTGTAATCGTGATTACAAGTAATTGATTACATAGCTGTAATTATCTGTAATCAATTACAGTTGTAATCGATTACTGTAATCAACGGCCAACTCTGGTGGATACGGATAAAAACCATAAGACGAAGTTTTTAAAATGACCGCCATTTGTAAAAAACTCGTGGGGCAGTCTGAGGATAAAACTAACAATCTTCGGAGGAAATGTTTATTCTCATACGATCTCACATGCTTCATAAAACAATGTTTTGTAATTTATACAGTAAGCAGCGTCTTCTAATGACAAAATTAGAAAATAAGTAAAAATAAACTTAGTTTATAAGTCTTAGTTTATAGTCCAAGTGGGACGCAAACCCTGTATTTATGTATTGTTCCTTTTTTTTCAATGATTATTACTGATTTGGAATACTAAATATTTTTTTGATTTCTAGCAGCAGTACTTGATGTGTACATTCGCTGGAGTGTAAAAACTAATACACTCCGTACTGACCCAAGGAATAACAACACATTAAACAAAAACTTAAAAATATTGAAACATTCGAAATACAAAATTAATTACAGCAAAGAAACATTAAATAGAACATCAACAATAAAAGTATAAACAGAAAATCAGTCATTAAGTAGCGCCAGCAACTGCTCCTTAGCATTCCAGTATCTGTCATAGATGTTGCCAGTAACTGTGAGGCCGACTCCCAGATGCTCAGCATTAATTGGGGAGTCCTCCCCGCACCAAAACACAGTTTAGATCGGGAAAGATCATAAGTCTATGGAGGTGAGAAGCAAGGCAGTAGTGTCCGGTTTCCAACCTAAAGGCAGCAACCGCATTGCGTCGCGGGTGATCAGGGATCTTATTCAGGGCAATCAGGGATCTTATTCAGGGTCTCTCTCCAGACCATCTCACTAATTTGTTTATTTAAATTATTTTCATGACTCATAATTATCGTGTTTTTAATTATTCCATCTATGGAAGAGTAAGGAATTTCTCTTTGGGAGCTCTGTAAAATACCAGTTTATTTTTTAGCAAGAAGATCTGCCATCTCGTTTCCATAGACATTACAGTGAAAAGGAACCCACTGTATCTCAATATTCTTTTTTAAGGACAAAAGTAGCCCAAAATTCTCTTTACAACTTTTAATTCCAAGAGAGTATGAAAAATCAGCAGATGTTACTGCTTGGATTGTCGAGATTGGAGTCGTCAAATATAACGACAATCTCTACGTCATCCATTCTTGATAAGTTTGTCCCTAAAAATAGATTATCCCTGACTCAGAAATTAAGTGATTTAAGACACCCAATGACCACCACCATAAATTCCAGCAGTTACAAATTTTGAAATTAAACTTCTTCAGTTTTTGAACCTATGTCATAGATTACACATGGTACAAATTTGAGACTTCTATCTTTGTGAAAAACTTTTACTTAGCATTAACTTCAATTGGGGTAGTTAGCTCCTGATTACTCAGGGAGCTACAAAAGTTTCTAAATCAAACTTTTTAGTTTTTATATTGATCTATTAAAGAACACATACTCTAAATGTAAGACTTCTATCTTGGTAAAATCGCGTTAATTAGCATTACTGATAATTAAGCTAATTACCCCGATAAAAAGAAATTGCCGGAAAGAAGCTATTTTAGTTTTTTTCTTTATCCTACTTGATGTTTCCTGATTAGTTTTTTCCCTTCCCGATAAGGGACACGTAATCGGAATTAAATTTGAGTCTTACATCTTTTGGACAAACATTATTCAGTCTCTAATTTTTCTTAAAATGAACACATGGTCTAAAAGTGAGACTTCTTGATTAACACGTTCACGCCGGGGTGACACACCGGTGGGTCACGCTGGATTGTCTCATCGTGCGGAGCATCGGAGTAAAAACTAGTAACAAATAAATTTCATTTTTTAGTTTTTTTCCGGGAATAATAAAAATCCATAACTACCAATTGTTTTTAACAGATGCAATTTTTATATTGAATCGCTTCTTCGCCGTGATAAGTTTCCTTACAGTGAATTGTTATTGTTGAGAATACATTAATTCCTCCCGAATATTATCTAATATTGAAATAGTTCTTC